AGGCCGCGTGGAGGTGCTGCTTATCAGGGCAGGTGGTCCTTAAAACCTACCAAACAGTCTTCTAAGATCCCGACTGCAGTATTTGTACACTTTTTAGCCTTGTTCTCACAAAATGCTTATTCCACTCAGCCACTCACTTAGCCAAATCTTACTGGCAGATTTGGTATAGTCAGAGTCATACTAATGAGATTTAAAGTCACAAGTTGGGGTCACGGGAATGCACTCATTCCAGAAGAGAATTGTCAGGGCTTCAATGCGAGCTCTAGCCCGTTGGCCAGGCTTAGCAGCTGAAGTCAATCAGAATTTAGGACAGTCGTGTTTTTGGCTGCTCTTTCTCCTCCAGCTCTGTTTCTTGGAGGACTGACTGTGCAAAACAAAGCAGTTGGACTTTCATGTTCCCCAAACGTGGGTGAAGTTAGCTTAATTTAACCAAGACTGGACCTACCTGGGGCTAAAATGTAAAGCCCATAGAATTAGTTGATTCACTCCTTTGATCCTTTTGGTGTTCCCACAGCATACTACCTTCTTGAGGTGACCCAGTTAAGTTTATTGTGGGAAAGGGGCTAGAGTGTCACCTTAGCAACAAAAATCCCGTGCTCTCCCACTGAATTATAGCTTTCCCCTACTCTCTGATTTTTACGTATCTGCACCCTTTGCAAAAGTCTTGTGTATTTTGTGCACTGGGCTTCTCCAAACATAATGTAAATTCATCCCTCAATTGTTTCAAGTAGATTACAAAGTCACTTTGAACATCTGTCCTTCTCTTGGGTAACAAGCTGCAGTGCTATATATTCCCTGTTGATATTTCCATTTTTGAGGGCATTGGGCATTTATTCTGTTTTAGAAAATGCAAATATCAGTCAGAGTCATGAACTTGGGATGGGTGGCCATATAATTGAGATAAATACATCAAGCTTCCTCTGACTGCTGCTGTAGGCAAGCATGGGTATAACACTTCAAATGCTTCTTAAACACGTTGAGTCTGAACAATTGACAGTTGAGACCTTTTCATTTGACAGCACAAAGCTTGTTCCCTCAATAAAAGGTAATACATACCTATGTTGGCTAGCAATGAGAGAGTCCCATCAGTACAGTGCTTTGAAAGGACCTGAAATTTGATACTATTGGCCATAAGATTAGTGAAGCATTTTCCTTACACATTTTCCATAATGCGGTGTGCATTTTATATATATTCCACCTTTCATCCAGGAGCACAAGATGGTATACATAGCACTTCCACCTCCCCATTTGTTTTACCACAATGGCCCTGTGAGGTAGGTGGGCCTGAGAAAGAGAGCCTCTAAGCCACCCAGTGAACTTCTGTGACAGAGGGTGGATTTGAACCAAGTTTCTTCTTCACACCTTAACCACCAGTCCAGACTAGAATTATATGATTGCATCAAGAAGTTGCTATTCTGAGTTTCATTATGTTAAATATATTTTGAGAATCACTTTCCTGATCATTCCTGCAATCTCATGGTTCACACACTCTCATTCTATTTACTGGTAGGTGACAGAATTAAATAGAAAAGATGACAGGTAGATCTCAATTAGTGTGGTCAATCAACCCCACGAAATGGTTGCATTATTTGAATTTGCACTATTCAAAGTGATATTTCTATGGAAAATATGATAATTGGTTCCAGCTTGATGGAAATTTATTTTTATTTATTTGGTGCCTTCAAGTCAGTGTTGACTCCTAGTGACTGCCTGGAGAAGTCCCTGCAGTTTTTTTGGCAAAA